TTGCATAAGCAGTAAACTGTTTATAAAGTCTGAAAGACAAGTGATCTGAACAGACTGGTAGGAGGTCATTTGCTGAAGTCTAAGACATAGTTAACCCAGGTGCGCGTCTGTTATTTTTAAGAAAATTCGTGTTCTCTTCAAGATGCAAATCTGGATCACTTAGTTATGAAATCGAAGCCTTCATCACTAATTTGGCCTGTACGTGACTAATTTTTTCGAAAAGTTTATTGCATGTAATAACTGACTACAGGTTGGTAACAAGAGTGAATATTTTACCATTTATTCTGATAAAAGTCAGTTGACTAAGTGTGCAGTATGTCCTTTAGAAACCATATGATACAACAGAATAGCAAATTTTACCGTTATTAGATGAGTGGGATCAAATGACTGGGCATTATGCTTTTTGAAAACATATAGGATATAAGTTCTCTAATCTGTATATTTTCGGGAACTACCATTTCTTCCTGTTGATTGTTTAGCTGGTCAAAAAGTGCAAAATTTATGCCTAATAAAGATTTCCAACAATAATTGAGATGTAAAATAGACATTCAGTTGTGTTGTATTAGCCATCAAAGTTCAAGAAAGTCAACAACAATGTCAGTTCCTTGCATGTTAAACTGAATATTCTCCTATCACGTTTACGTCACCATTCACCTACAGAATCTCTTTCAGACCCCAAAACCTATTATATATCCAAGCAGGATCCAAAACCAAGAAATTAATATTATGGACATCAGGTATGCATGTTCATTGTTGATTAGCTTTGTAAGATAAAATTTTAATTATGAGAATCTAAACATGTGGATTTCTAAAACAGATGTTACCTAGTTTGATTTTCTATGACCTAATTAGTTTTGTGGCTATTTATTATTTTCCAATGTATCAGGTTTTCCTGGCATGTATCCCTTTTGACGGTAACAGTTTACTTGTGAAATGATAAAAACTTTCTGTTAACTAATTAAGGATGATGTAAACAATGTACTCGTTATAAAGTACTAACTACTCTAGTTTCATTTTGAATGAAAAATAATATGCAGAATGATGGCACTAAACTATTTCGAAAGATAACTGTAATAGTAATCTTCGCTGTTGGATCACATCAAAGAAAATACTCAGGTTTTTGTTTCCCTTCAAAATTAAGTTGATCACACTGCTAACCAGTGATACTAGAGCTCTCGATACACCAAAAAAAAAAAGATATTCAAAAACTGAGGTTGCTTGAAAGTAGGTATCACAAGAGAATGGGATAAAACGTCATATGATTCGTCTCAACTACTATTCGAACAATGAACGGTATGTAACAAACAGTAAAGTTTCCCAACAGACAAGTCAACTTTAGTCATAATTTGGAAATAACTTTACGACACCTTATAGTGACTAGCTTAAAGGTATATTCGGAAATACAATGAAAAGATTTTACCATATGTTGTGGAAAGTTTGAAGTATTATGTACAGGCGACTTTATTCCTGTTTAAAGAGGTGCTAACAAATATGTAGTGCGAGGAAAATCATTCTTGCAACGCATGTAAGTCTCTCAAAGAAAACGTTATAGCAACGTTAGCTCTTCTGTATATGTGGAACTGTTCAAAGTTTCAATAACAACAATATGCATCTTTAGTCTTGAGAAGGTTGACACTGTCCCTGGAATTTGAATTGACGTCGCTAAGTATAATTGTTGTAGACGTTCCTGCTAACTATGAAAACGATCCAGAATGATCTTCACTAACCATAACTGAGTAGACAAATTCATCCGTAGAAACAAACAAGTATCTAGAAATTCTGTTTTGTATTTCCTTCTGATGATTATACTTGTCCAATAACAGATAATGTTTAGTGTGATGTACGGTCAGCAAGCAAGATGGACAACAGGCTTTAGTCAATATCAGATGGAAGAATGAGATATTTGATAAACGTTTCCTGATGAATCATGTCTTATCATAATTTACACAAATCAATCACTGGAGGATAACCGACGTAACCATCAATTCCTTAGGGCTGAGCACTTACCGAGGTTTTTCGCTGAAGTTCGTAGTGTGTCAATCAAGTTAATCAGTGGAAAACTGAAATACTGTGTGTTAACCGTTAAATTTCATGACTTTTGGATGGTTAATTGCTAACACAAAGATAAAATAACTTTACTACAGGGCCGTATTACTTATTTTTGTGACTAAAGTACAAAATTTACCAAGAGACGTTAGTTAGTGATGAGGAATTAGTTATATCGTTCACCACACAGTAAATAACTGATGTAAATAATCCAAACTTAAAGCGTTCAGAAGCATTGGATAATTGTGACTTCCCTTCTAATTGAGTTGAATCTTGCTGTCACGAACTTGATCCTGCAGGAGGAGGAGATTGGTTCCCACTGCATAAGGGAGAGCAATCAATGCTGTTGGGGTCATCATGATGGCCACTCAAAAACTCAGTGTGCTGTGCTCATGGTTGTCGTCTGTGTGACAATCTCGGAGTAGATTAGATTATTGACTCCTCTCCAGTTGACAGTTTGCAGAGTCCACTTCCATCCCATCTGCAGACTGCTTGCAGATTCTTATCCTAGCACTTCTATGCTATATCTTCTCATCTCTTTTGCAATCTGGACAGCCTAGCCAACCAGCTTCAAATATTGTTTAAATATTCCATGTCCCCATGTTTGCTTTCGCTTTTATCGAGTGGAGAGAAGACACATGGGCCAATTGGTTTCCCGGTAGCTTTCACCAACTGGTGTCATTTTGTCTGCCCGATTGCAGCGATGGATAAGTTTATTTTTATATTTCCTTTGTGCTTTGAATTTTCTTTAGATTTGGATTGGTCTTCCGGTATAGAGTTGCTAGCCATATGCCCGACCTTTCCTTTTTATCCGTGCTTAGGACTGGCTGGCAAAAAGTGAACTAGTTACATATATCAAATAACCAAAATACTACCTGGGAAAAGATCAACGCAGTTAAAACCGATGAAAGATGATAGTGAAGTAAACTTAGTTACCGTCAAGGTGAAGAAACAAAGGAGACGATGGGCAAAACACTTCAAAAATCTCTTGATTCGACCACCACCACCAACAACAACAACAACAACAACAACACACCCTGCAACTCGTCCACAAATACCATCAGCAGCCCAGCCACACAACTATCAGTGAACACAAACCCTCCAACAAAAGCAGAAGTGAAGTCAAGAAAGCCATAAATTTGCTGAAATCTGAGAAGGCAGCAGGACCACATGGGATTCCTCCTCAAGCACTGAAAACAGATGCAGAGACAACGGTGGACATGCTGACACCACACCGCTACTGCGGAAGGATTAGAAGGTGAGGAATGAGGGAATGTAAGGTACCTGTAGAGTGGAAGAATTGCTACCTAGTAAAACTCCCTTGTAAAACAACGGAGACCTAAGTGCTTGCAAGAACGAGAGCTGGTGAGGATTCATGGTTCTGTTTCTGTCCACCCGGAGCAAGCGAAATATGAAGGCGCATCATCCTAGAGCGAGAGAGAGAGAGAGACTATAGGATGCTCGCCATTGAAAATCACTACCGGAATAGGCTGAGTGGCTGGCCGGCTGGCTGGCTGGCTGGTGGGTTTCAGGATGAACAAATCATGTGCGGATCAAATTGCAACGCATCGCATCGCTACGCTACGCATCATCACACAACAGAGTGCAGGATGCCAGTCAACTGCATCTGTACCTGTACCTGTGCCTGTACCTAAACTTCATTGACTTTGAAAAGGCCTTCGACAGCGTCGACCGACCACTAATTTGGCAGACAGCTGCTTCAACACTACAGGTTTAGTGCAACAAACTCCCATCAACCTCATTCAACAACTATATGCCATGCTATATGATGCTACATGCCGAGTGATTCACAATGTAGCGTTCAGTGATGCCTTTGAAGTGAAGACAGGCAGGAGTAAGACAAGATTGCCTACAATCACTGATCATCTTGCTGATTGTGGTCGACTGGACTTCAAAGCAGCCAGGATTGGAAAGACAGCAAGACAGGCCTTCATTAACCTGAAATCAGTGTGGAGATCTGCTGCACTGCACTGCACTCAGCAGAAAGCGTCAACAAGATTTGCATTTTCAACACTCATATCAGTCAGGTGTGTCAGTGCTTCCATGTGATGGCTGAGAGTGTTGGTGGCGCGTCACAAAAAGCATTTCCAACAAACTACAGACATACATCACATCAACAGATGCCACCTGTGCTGGCGCGCTCGCTCGCTCGCTTGCTCACTCACTCACTCACTCTCGATACTGAAGATCAGATGAGATGTCCAGAAAGAAAGAATAAGCAACAAGGAACTCTGGCTGGCTGGTGACGAACCAATCAAGAGGTCATTTCGCTTTGAGTGTGCAGAGGAGAGTGGAGTAGATTGGGGAAGGAAGACGGTTTGTTGACATCATGCGCCTGACCAGGCGAGACTAGGTGAGGCCAGGTTGTCGAGTGGAACCCGAATGGGAAACGACGAGTTGGGTATCTGAGCTGAGGGTGACATTGAGGAGATGGTGTGATGAAGAAATGGAGGCTTGTGGTCAGTAGTGGAGTCAGGTTGAAATGACTGGAGAGAAGAGAGTGAAATGGTGACGTGTTGCTGAATCCGTATGTTTCACTTGGAACCCAAGGGACAAATAATAATAATCAAAGCGTTCAGTCCTACCCACAGTAACTGAAGAGTCTACATGGATATTGCATCTTTATACATCGCAGTTGGAATCATGAAAATGGAGAATGTGTTTCCTGAAATTTCAGATTACACTATTTTGTTAATCATCTGCCAACAGTATTATCACCATCTTCCAGTATTCGTATTCATTGAAACAAGAGATTAACAGATGTTTTTGGGTTAATAAATGGCTAAACTACTGATCATCCAATATGCCAAAAAAATGTTTAGTTTAAAACATAATTATGCACCTGTAGCAAACAGTCGATTCAAATGTGTTAAACTTATTCGGAGCGCATAACGCAATAATGTAAATTGTTTTAAATAAAAATAAATACTTACAGACTGTTGATACACTCTACACAGAGTATTTAATGCCATTTAAATGATAGTCGGTGGTTTTCACAACTATATATCTATAAGTGACCCAACAGACACAACACTAGCATATACTTACAAACTAGCATAAAGCTGTATATAACTCAGATACTGAGAAGGACATACATATGTATATACCATTAGATAACTGATGATGCTAGAATTTGATTGGTTGAACGAAATTTAGACAACAGAAGATGAGACCGATCTCCAGGAAATACATATTCAGTTCACAGTCACATTGTGACTGACAAAGACGCAGTAGACAAATTTTGAGTTTGTAATCAGCTAATAATATTCATCTAAAGTCTTCAGTAACTCAAGAATGATTAGAATATAGGTGTTATTTTTTTTAAAAAATATGTTAAAGTTATAACCAGTATATTAGAATGTGATTTGTTAGTCTACTCTGTTCCGATTGATAATATGACAAGCTTCTCACTGTTTGGTAATCACCAGAGAGAGAGAGAGATGTACTTTAGATTCTAATGATGAAGCCTCTGAGTTATTCAGAAGACAACTAAACTGTACAACTTGATCGTGGACAGAGATTTAACTAGGTGTAATCACAGTACTACAAATATAGTTTTCGAAGTGGACTGATATCATCTAGAAAACCATTTACATTCACTGTAATGTACATTCTTGACATTATACTGGATGGTATTAAGGAAATATAAGTCATACACTAACCATAATAATATCTGGTCAGCTGATTAGAATATAATGACCTGTGCCTTTTTATTTTTGGCCAGTACGCTAATTCAATAGAACTTCAATTTAGGATCTTCAGTGAGTATGCATCATCACTCCTGAATTGATTAATTCACAATTAATGCCTTCTTAGAGTGACTATTCAGAATACTATATACAGCAAATCACTAATAAATACGACACCACTGTTTATCGAAGCAACATGCACGTGAGGCAAACTTCGCTTTTGGCGATTTTTGGACTATTACTATAACACATTTTCTCCTGACACTATTTTCGTGCTGGTTACAAGTAAAATTCAGAACATTCACTGGGACTTAGAAGTTGGGTTCATTTGCATTCGTTACCGTGCCGCTATTGAGAATGAAACCCCTCACGCATTGCTCTAAACTTCAGGAGTTATTCATAAAGCCATTGAGTTGTAATAAGCGTTTGTTATTGAATAGGTATAAGTTGTATTCAAGCTTTAAGCTTTTCAATGCTGATGCTTGGAAGTAAAATGACCTTTTTATCGGTAGCCAGTACTGAGATAATATCAAAACCGAATAAAGGTTATCTTAGTGTTTGATAAAAGAGGCATGTGTACTAAAATGGACTGATAAGTTAGGCGTCTGAAGCCAAGAAAGTAAAATTTTACACTCTGACAAACATTCTTCTTGATTTACCGTTAATCAGTATGAAGATGCGTTAAACGAAGTGTTATTTAAGTGTCAATTTTTTAAAAAGACAGTCTCCATAATTCGTAGTATATCATTTTCTTATCGCATAAACATTAATATATGTCCCAATTAACAGGCAAAAAGCAAATAACTCATAAATATAGTTTTGAACATCCCCACTAAGTGAATGTGAAAGTTATTCGTAAGAAACGTTTGACTAAGTTTGTGACTTGATGGCTGTGATGATACAAAGTAGGATTTACTTTTTTTTATAATGGAGTTGTTCTGCTAAATAACAAAGCATGTTTAGAAAACACAAACTCCTTATTTTTGTACATAGAAAATTTTAACCCAATTAGGAAACAGTTTGAGTTTTCGGTCTTGACTGTTGTCTACATACTGGATAAAATCCGTAGGTTTTCTTTAAGCATACTGGATATGTATCGATGAAAACACCAATATTCAAAAACAAGTAACAAGATCTATTTGATAAGCCCAGAACAGTGGTAAGGTACATCTAAAATTCGAGTACTAATAGGAATGAAAGATAATTTCTACCAAGAATTAAAACCTAATAGAGATATATATAATTGGATGAAGCTTCTGTAAGTGAACTGTTTGTTATTTGAATTAAATGAAAACCTTTGTACCTAAGATTACGTTGGATGTTTAAATGGGATTCAGCCTAATCTTAGGTAGATACGTTTCCAAGTCATCGAAAACGTGTTACTGTAGTCAAGAGACAAGGTCGTACCTCACGTAATGATTGGACCAGAACCAGTGAGTTACAGTTGGTGCTATTAGTAGTCAATCACTAAAACCACTGGTAACTAATTCTACTCAGTTTGTTGATGGATATTATCTATTCTTTAATGCTTTGTATATGCTGTCAGTTGTTGCATTTCTGAGGTTCATGCTAAAAGAGGTACATTTGGCTATTTGAGTGAGAAACAAATTATTAAGGGCAATAGATGTTACTCGCTGAATAGTGACCACGTGGTTGTCATTTATCTCTAACCATCCGGTATGCATTAAACTTTTTTCGGGTCACTATAAAATAACAAGTAATACTAACAATAGTCTGTAATAATAAAATATAGCTAAGTTATAGAAGTTTAGAGTCACTTGTCTGAAAGTCTTGAATTCAGGCTTTAGTTTTATTCGCATTGAACAATATGAGGTGAATCCAACGTTTAATAAATTCATTTTCTGGGTGGTGAAGCATGTGCTGACATGGATGAATAGATATACTGTCCAGGGAATAAACTATCCGCTCAAATAACAAATATATTTCATCTCAAAATGCTTTTTGTTGTAGACTGGAGCCAGTGTTATGTCTTTAACCCTAATCTTTACAATTTGAACCTGCCTCACATCATTCACTTAGGATACTAAGATAGAGATCCACACTGTTTACCAGTAGTGACCTTATCATAGCAGAATTAAGATTTTCAGTTTTAAGCAGTACCTAAAAATTCAAAAGAAAAACATTTAAAAACATTACAAAGGATGATTATCCTGGTGAAAATAGTGATGCTAATAGTAGACTTTGTAACATTGATGAAATAAATTTGTAGTTCATCAGACAAAATATTTTTTAGATAATAGGATAATTTTCAAAGCTAACTATCATTCAGGTACTATTTAATGCCTATCCTAAATATTCTAAAAAGATGGTAAGTGAACACACTTTATTCGTAATATTATCTACCGGATTTCATACCAAGTGCGGTTACAACCAGAGATTTGGTACAAATAAGTTAAAGATCACACAATGAACTCCAAAATAATTGTTAAGACTTGAAGATTAGGATTAAGGTGATAACTGTCATTTATTCTTCAAAATCTGATATGTTGTGGAAACTTCCTCATCACGATAGATGGTTTTATCAGCACTTATTTCTTAAAGAAGGGGAACACTTCTGAGATTTATGAATATTTCGTTTATATTGAAGGATACCGACTAGTGGAGTGAAAATGTAGCTGAGACTAACTTTTTATTGTCATACCATGGAAGTCAGGCAAGTCGAATAGGCCACTTATGAAGGGTTCATTCACTTATATTTCCCTATGAATATGGTTTGATCAACACAAACTTGTGATGGAAACTAAGCAATTTCGCTGCTGTATTTTTTGTGATTCCATTCTCTCACTAAACGGAAGCTCATAATCTGTGTTCTTCTCCTATTTTTACTGAAGTTATCATGCATCTTAGGGTCTTAAGTAGCCATAAATATAGATGTTAATTAACGTCAGCAAAACTAACCTTTATGCAAAACGTCTACTTAGCTTATCATCTGAGTAATATTTATGATATTGGATCCTCCACATTTGAGTCAGCTACTCATTCAGTGTTCTTAACTTTCTGTGTAGATTATGAAAGTTTAACTCGAAGGTAATCAAGTTAACAACGGTTTAGGCACAGTGATCACTGATGCTCACATTCAGTCACTTACAAACAACATGTATTTCCATCTATGCAACCCCCAAAGGAAAGCAGGAAAATTGTCCTACTGAGTGCGTTAACCCAGTCAAGGAAACTTTGGGTGCATTTCATTAGGTCGGGCACTTTTCTCCCTACTTATTGGTCAATATTTCAAAAATTGTCCAAAATATCTAAGTTTATGGAGTGAACCAGAGTCATGACCCTTATAAAACAGATATAAACCATTACTGGGTACACAAATCTGAACTTGGTTATTCAGGCAAATGTATTTTACACAGTAGATTACAAAGAACACATCATTAACAGATTCTGCTAAAGTAGATTGGATTTTCATGAATCGTAAGTTATTGAGGAAATTAGTAACAATTTAAAACTTATGAAACTGTCATATTTAGTCGTATACAATAGAATGGATATCACTCCCTTTGCTCACCTGCATGATACTAACGTCGCTGTGCAGTTTTGCAAAAGTATATCAGACTAGACATGAGACTAGAATATTTCGGTTGTTAAATGTAGGAGTTATAGATCATTTTTCTGAATGTTTCTCCCTAATTCAATAGAATCTGTTCATGCATTTTTCTGCGGGAGAGAATAACGTCGGAAAACTACTCGTTATCTAGAATCTTACTGGTTAAATTTCTTGATATGCACAAAGTTACTTAATAACAGATTTAAAGACCTCTTCATCGGTTAAAACTATCAACTAGATCCATTTTTATTGATCTAAACATTATTCAATGATTTATACTCTTTGAAGATGGCTTGAGATACAGCTGAATGTGAAAATAACTTCACAATTTATAAATTGTATAATCCAGAGCGTTAGCTGTTCTGTTGGCTTACATTAACTTGTTCTATAAAAGTCTTTTTTCATTGCGAGTAATAATCCTCAGGTAGGCAAGTCAACTTTAATAATGAGAGGAAACGGAAGCTGTTGCAGTTTCTTTTATAAAAAATCGACTGAATAAATAATGTTAGGTGTTTATCCACTAAAATCCTTTAAGCTTCGTGGTTGTTGTCACACAGTAGCCAGGCAAGTCTACAAAGACTAAGAAATTGTGTGTTATACTGTCGGATCAATTATTTCGGTTGTAAAATCTCAAACATTATCATTAGACCAGAGAAAACTCCCTGGTTTGCATTCATGATTTCTTTACGAGGTGAAATTATTTTTTTAAAAATAAATAAGCATACCAAAGTTGTAGTGTTCATTATTAAAGTTGAAATTCAACATCACGGCTTTCATACTGTCGACTCAATGCTCTCTTGTCTGGGGTTTGAGACTAGTAGTGTGAATACCTTATTTTTGACGTTTATAAACAAATGAATGGTCATCTGAGAGGATAAATGTGATTATTTTAATGGATTTTCAAGCTTCGTTGACTACATTGTCACTTACATTTCAGAATACTGATACTACGTTGGGGGTAAGCAGGAAATAAATTTCCCATTTTGTGTACTCAATAATCAATATGTAGTACTGTCATGAAATTCGATCTGTATTTATCTGAAGAACGTCAGACTTAGTTGAATCAGTAAGAAGATAATAATTTGCTCGTCACGAAACTCGTAAGTAAAGGGTTTGGCTCAGGATGCATACTGCCGAGGAGCCTCATGCCAGGAAGAAACAGATATCTCTTACTCCTAGGTTTTTGATAGTTCTCTAACCTATATCACTCCGCGACGGATGCCACCATGAAAATTATTCAGTCCTCATAGACCTCCAAACTGAATGTAGTCATGTTGAAGTATGGTACATTATTGTTCTGAATTAGCTTTATTAGAGATATACCACATACTTGGTTGTAAATAAGTGATTTAGAAGCAACGCAAATCTTGTGTAACTTAGGGGCACTGGACTTAGCTTTTAAAGAGATACTGAATATATACATTTCTAGAGAAGCGACTCTGTAAATGGCAGCTTTTCTTTTCATTGTTTCTATGTCGCATATCACTTTTTGATATGAATAATCTTGATCATAGTGAAATCCACTTAAGTGTTTATGAGGTTAGTCGGAATTATTATTAACCTTATTCAGGTGGATAATTTCAAACTTATTCTATAAATGTATTAAAGACTTTTTTTAAAGTCATTTTTGCTTGGTTCAAATCATCCATTACAAGGCATGGTATTCATCCGCTTATGTTGCATTCATGCCATCTATGAAAATTTTTATCAAGACTGTTAGTCACTCTACTCCTTTCTAAAGATGTGAAAAAGATTCATAACATTTTTTGAAATCAAAGATTGAAAATTCCGCGAAATGAGAAGCAAGTTAGTGGAAAAAAGTTCAGGTGATTAAAACTGTTTCATTTTTTTTAAATTCTGATTTCTTTTCATTGTTTACAAGATTTTATTCTCTGTAAGAGGAATTAGAAATTTGAAAATATCCTCGAATTCATTTTTACCACTTTAGTTGATATGTAGCAATATTTAAGCTAAAAAGAGGCTGAAAGGAAGAAACGAAAGATACTTAACGAGAAAATAATATAAGAAAAACTGAGGAAAGAGTTCTTATTGATATTGTTACAATTGACTGTCACGTGGAGTAGACGATGAACGGATATATTTTATCATTTGATCTGACTTGGGGTTTTTTCTGCAGTCATTGTCATTACTGTTAGGCGGTTCCACTGTTTCCTGTTTAAATACAACTTGACTGAAATTCAACAAAATATGAGAGGTGTATAACAACTGGATAACATCTAGTCCATAACTCGACAATAAAGCCCATTCTAGTATACGTATTGGGTATTTACCAGCGAAATTCAGTAAAGTTGTTGTCGGGCTTAATGTACCCCATAAGCATATACCTTGATTCCATTGAATGATTAAGTTTTTTAAATCTGGATAGCACAGATATTGTATAAGTGAGTTAAATCTACATGGGTCACGTTCCGTGACATCAATATGTTTGGCTAACTTCTGCAGAATACTCATAGGTAACGGGTAAGATGGTACATTCAATAGGTGGTTTGATACTTCTTGTGCCAAATGCTCATCGTTGAAAAACAAGTCTTTAATTAACTGGTTTTGTAATTTTACTGAATGAAGAGATTTTCTGTCTGTCATCCTTATACCGCTGCTCTCACTGGTTTCTCCTTCATTATCATTCTTTTCTTCGTCGTCTTCATCACCACTGAGGCCATCATCAGTGGCTTCGTGAAGAAATTTTGACGGCCCGTACTTCTGAAGTTCTTGTTGTTGGGATGTTCTTGGTTTCTGAAGATCGATACTACACAATGAATTATTATTAATATGAGAGTTTTGAGCTATCACTAATATAAATGTTTGAACTAGTTGTCTGGGATCCCATACTTTTGGAGTTATTCGATGGCTAGTCAGGTCGTCTGAATTAATCAGCCTTAGCTCAAGGTTCAGGTTTGGACAACATCTCGAAGTGACTTGTCTAATTAAATGTATAGTTTCGTGAAGAAGACCGAATGTTAAGTGTGTGTGTTGCGGTAGACACCTAGAACGAATTTCAAGTACCTGCAGAGAATATAACGAAAAATGTTATTAACAAATGGTAGATCTAAGCAACTTAGAGATTGGTGTCTGTAGAAAAAATCTTATCATAAAAAATATACACCTAAAGATAAATGAAAATTCCAATATATTGCTGTAAAGCCATTAGGTTGATGCATTTCCATCTGAAATGTTAAATCAAGCATATTTTGGCCGCCGTCCAAATTTTCATTTCACCTTCAATCATCACCCGGTGTAAATAGAAGTGTTAGCAGTTTATAACTTTGATTAGCATTTTATGAAAGAATTTATGATAAACGAAGTCAAATGTAAAACTTCGGTTCATCGGCGATTTCAAAGTGATATTCCTTTTGATTTTGAAACTGAATGAACAGCAAGCTTTTTAGCTTCACAGGTCAAATGCCAAACTAGCAGTAGAAAAAGAGTTGACTTTAAAGGCCACCCTAGCAACTGACGAGCCAGCCAATCACGTTGCTTTATTTTGTGGGAAAGTAATTTTTCAGGCGAAATACCAAAGGCTGATTAGTCACTTCAGCAGTTGCTAGGGCAGCTCTTAAAGTCATCCTAGACAAACCGATTAATTTAATGTATATTTATTCATCATGCTTAACAATCCCAGTAAGAAATACATGTGCCATAGTAATAAGTGTTGATGAATGCGTTAGCTTTGGAACATAAGCGATATCGCCATTTACATTTTAAATGTACAAAAAAAGGTTCAGTACCATTATTCCCACTACAAAGAGAGCTTTCTCGTAACAATCGTGTGACTTTAAAGACCACCCTAGCAAACAACTGAAATAACTAGTCAGATTTAGTATTTCATGAAAATCTGCCTTTACAGCCAAAATGAAGAAATCTGATTGGTTATTTCAGTCGTTTCTAGAGTGACATTTGAAGTCACTCTAAATATTAGGTCGGAATATACCACAGCTTACTTTGGGTGACTTATAAGGGTATTTGTGTATTTACTGGCTTGGCTAGTTAAGGCCGCCTATACTCGATTTTAATATGGAAAGCCTATGTAATCGATTAATATTTTCTGACAAATAAATATCTGAAATTTAGTAAATATTAATGATGGGTGGTAGTCAGCATTGGAATCCAGGACGCACGTTTCGTCCTATTTGAGGCTCATCAGATGGATGTGCCTGCCTCCCAGTGAGCAAAGTTGTTGCCACTGGGACTCGAACCCTGGACAAACAAAAAGGAAGCAGTTTTTAGTGAAAGTTTTATTGCAACAGGGCTAAATTTCACTAAATAAGTTTTCAATAACTTCCCCACCAGATCCTAAAGTTATATATCTATGCTGTTTAGATGTGAGAGTAAAACGCATGTCAACAGCAGAGATTTTTTTACCATTGATCAGTTCAAATCACTCAGTCATGGTTGGGAAGCAAGCGAATGGTTTGAAAACTCATGAAATTCAATTCAAAACGAACATGCAGTATATACGATTCATGTGGTGAAGATCGAATAATAGAGCAAACGTTATTCAGCATACATTGACAAATGATTGTGATTGAGGCTTAAACATGAACACTATTCAACCTAATTATGAACTTTCTTTGAAGAATGTCAACATAATTAGACATGAGGAGATCTACATGGAAAGTAAAGTTCTTCCTTCTCTGTACAAATTTTTGCGTGTGAAATATACCCATGAGGATATGAAAGAAGAACGAATATTTCAGCGAAGAGTCTCTTTTCGGCAATTTCATTTTCAAATCTGTATTATCACAAGCTATCTCAAGAACCTCCTCGTTCAAAGTTATCTATGATGTAAAAAGGTTGTATGTTTTCGTATTCTCTGTATCACTGAAGCTCTTGCTATACATATGGAGAAACCTAAACTGTATAAACAAAAGAAGATTGTTCAACCCATTCTCCTTTCATGGTATTAGTTTTCAGTCTTCGAAATCTTCTCTACCAGCCTCCTTCCCGTTTTCTTTCCATTTTTCTGTTTTGATGCTATTCACTTGTTGAGTAACTTCCTACTCATTGTTGGTGCTATGTTCTGCCTGATCACAATTCAGTTTCAAATTATGTCATGACGAAACATCTTGCGTAAACTTAATTCGATTAGTATTGGCTGCTCATCAGATCTTGGTTTTTTATGACAGCTCATTTATTGACACTATTTGTGTTACCATGTTTGACAAACCGTTTTTAACTATCAAATCCTTAGACTAGAAAAGTGTATAAATTTGCGGTTGTACGGCTTCGAAAATAAAATCACCGAAAAGAGACTCTTTCCTGAAATATTTGTTTTTCTTTCATGTACAAATATTTGCATAATTGTGAATTTAGGAATGGACACAGAAAGATGAATAAGATGCGTAATACCGAGTATATATATATATATATATATATATATATATATATATATATATATATATATGAGGTGATGATTGCAGGTGGAAGGAAAACCTAGGTAGTGGCAGAATGCAAGCCTATGGTATCCAGATTGCTCACCTGACAGTCTTTTAGCTGAGCTACGAGACCTAGCTAGTGATCAGATCTTAACTTTGTTTTGATAGCTCAAGGTTATGCTCGGTTGCGATTCGAACGTGTGTTGTGTAGTTGTACGTTCATCTCAGTCACACTGGTCTTCCAGCTAGGCTTTCTCAACCCAATCCATATCGAGCTGAATTAAAAAGGTGAAGCGTCGTGTTGTTTGTTGTTGGAGCTATTTGAGATAGCCATGGTTTGGTTGTGAAGTTTTTAGCGTCAAATTTGGTGACATCACTATCATTCCGTCCGTAGAAACCTATAGTATCTACAAGTCGCACAAAGCTTTTTATTCATAATCAAATTTGTAAATCCGTTAATGAATTATGATTTTTTCTGGTACACGTTTATTTGTCTGACCTGATATTTTAGTGGGTCACTGTATGAAAAATTTCTGTTGCTGTGAAATCGTGATTTTAGTTATCGATGTCACAGTTGATTACAGACTTATTTTGATCAATACTTAATTTTTTGGAGTATAACATATTTCTTTTTAATTCAGTAATACTTTTAGTCTATAATTTTGGGTATGTTGACCACCATTTAGCTTGAGACTTGGTATTCTGAACATTTTCATCCAGTTTCTGAATTTGCATGCCGTCAAATTTAACTCAACATTCTCCTAAACAAAGTTGTGATAGCAGTTACCTACGCTCAATGATGCCGTCAATGATATATCATATTATCTCATCATTACTTACTTCTTTCAATGATCTGAAGGTTGAATGATAAACTTAAAGACAATGCAAGTCTTTTTAGTTAGTTTTGTGAATGCAGTGCACTACAGTTTCCTCACTTAGTTTAGTTCGTTTGCTGCAAACTTGATCCTAGACTTTTATGAGTGCTGCTACATCGATTACCTTTTGATGACCCCCAGCCTGACAGCAGATCAGTTATCGTCTGAATAGCTAATTGGTAAAACTCTGACTTTGATATGGAAAGTTGTGGTTTTACAATCAATGGGGAAATACTAGTTTACTCATTGTTTTTGGTGAGCATTAACGGATGTGGAATATATGATCAGGGCTTCCGCATGATGGATTCTCGACTTGTGACTTAGCTCATATACACACAACTATGAATCATACTAGACCGTAAGACATCACTCATTATTTTTTTGCATATAACTGAACTGTCTATTTGATGTATTACTATTTTTCCCTTGGGTTCCTAGTGAAACATAGGGCTTCAGTAATACGCCTCTGTTCCACTCTATTCTCTGCAGTCTTTTGGAGCCGGCACCACGACTGCCCAGAAGCTTTCATTTCTTCCTCACACCATCTCCTCCATGTCACCCTCAGCTCAGATGCCCAACTGGTCGTTTCCCCTTTGGATTCCACTCGATAGCCTGACGCGTGATATCCCCAATCAGCCTTCTCAGTGTATGCCCAATCCATCCCCACTTCCTTCTGCATATTTGATGTGTGATAGGTTCTTGTTTGTCTCGTTGTCAGGCCAGAGTTCCTTGTAGCTTATTCTTTCTGGCCATCTCATCTGATCTTCAGTATCGAGTGGGCGTAGGTGGCAGTTGTTGATGAATGTCTGTAGTTTGTCGGAAATGCTTTTCGTAACGCGCCGCCAAGTTTCTGAACCATCACATAGAAGCACTGACTTGACATCGGTGTTGAAAATCCGGATGCTGTTCACGCTTTATGCTGAGTGCAGAAGATCTCCACACCGGTTTCAGTCTAATGAACGCCTGTCTTGCTTTTCCGTTCCTGGTTTTAACATCTTTGTCTGTGCCGCCTGTAGTTGAAACGATGCTGCCTAGGTAGGTGAAACAGACTACTTCCTTTAGGTTTCTCTCGTTGATGGTAATTGGTGCTAGTCGTTGATGCTATTGTTCGTTGGGTATCTTCATCACCTCTGTCTTCTCTACATTCACTTGAAATCCCGTCTTCGCTGCCCAGCCTCTTTCGTCAACTTGTTGATTTTCCCCTTGTAGTTTTTCTAGTTTGTGGGACGAGATATTAGACATAAGTCATCATCGGCGGCGAAATCCAAATCTTCTAGACTCTTTTCATCGGTTCAGTGTATGCTCATTGTCCATTTGAATTTATGAGTAACGTCTGGGGTGAATTTCCAAAGTATTGTTAGGGAGAATAAAGATAGGGAGCTGAGCAAGTAATAGAATATCCTTGCTTAATGATCTGATTGATTTAGATTATTTATTTTATCAAACTAAATTATGCTTTTTCCTCTGCACGTTTTACCCAAGCACCATAAACATCTCATCTAGTGGCTTAACTTGGTGTTCGCTGACTGGTTACGAAGTGTTTATTGAAGAGTTTTAGCCCAGACAAAAACAATTAAGTCCGCGACTGCACACTCTAAGATTGAAGTTGTATACCACTATTTCGCCTATTAGTTGCCTATCAGTTACGTAATGCTTGTCACCATTTAAGACAACTGATGACTGATGGTAAGGATAATGAACTGTTGAAAGAATTTCATCGGAAATAGTACATTACTACGTGAATCAAAGACTAGCTTACCTGTTTACTTTCGTCAATACATATAAAAACTTGAATTTCCCCTTTAGAATCCGTGATTTTTGAACCATGAAGCCACTGTACTAAATTCCATGAACGTGAATGACATGTTCTGCGTTTATTAGTGATACTATTAGAATGAAGGTCTAACAAATTCATATACACCTCTGAAGTGGCGTAAAAATTGTTTTGATCTTTAATACTTAATTTCGGAAAATCATTTGATATCTTCATTTGGGTGTATTTCTTTCTGTTCACTGATATTTCTCGTCTCAAGTGAACTTGTATGCGAGGCATTAAGTGTATAAATTGTCCGGGTGACGATATTAATTGTACACCAGAATAAAGCATTCTTTTATTCTCAACTTCATTGTTATCCCATAAACCTTGATATAGTGGGACTAAATTTAAACGTGGTATCTCAATTTGTATATCTTCGTTTCTAAACGATGTATCATTTAACCTTGAAATATCAAATACAATAGGTTTTAGGACTTGAGTAGTGTTTAAACTAAAGTCATTACTGTGGGCTTGATTCACCTTATAAACACTGTGACCATTGTTACGGTTACTACTACCACCATTTTGATCTGTGTATTCAACATTCGATGAATATGGCGTTGAATGGGGATTACTGTTGATCTGTTCAAATAGTTCAAAGCAATCTGCTGAATGCTTTTTGCCGCGAGATTTTACACGAGTAACAGGATGATGTTCTTTGACAATGCAACAAACACATAAACCAAATGATTCAAGTAGTTTAATCATTTGTTGAGTATTCTTTTCACGTACAAATAGTTGTAGTTCTTCGAGAGTATAACTACCTGTTATACGGGTACGATGGATGAATCGTTCAGAAAAACATAGACCAAGCATTTCACTACATAACCAATTTGGGTCGAGTACAATCATATCTTTTTTGTTATAATTATTACTTTTGCTGTTTTCTCGATCAACATCGTCCAGCCCGTTGCTGTTTGTGGTACTGTTAGAATAGGATTCGATATATACAATCTATAAAAGACAAAACAATTATATAGGTTATAAAAAACGGTTGCAGAGTATATCAAATTTATTGAAATACATATCAGTTTTACACAGTAAGTGTCAACAATAGTAGCACAATGAAATATTCAGTGGTTAAAATACCTAAGAAGTAGACATAATCTTAGTGGACTGTCGAAATCCTTTGAACCTATTTATTCAAAGTCTTCTCACTTAATTTAAGACAGATCACAGTTAATTTAGTTTGATACTAAGCTTAAATGTTTAACGTTATACAACACGCTATGAGAAATAAGATTATTTCTCATTTTGCATGTTCGTGGGGATTTATTTTCTGATTTGAGGTTGGTATTGAGCATGGGAAAACATCAGTCGGAGAAATACAAGAAACCTGGAAAGATCGAACAGCTGTTTCGTCCTAGTGTAGGACTCTTCAGCAAAACTTACTCATGATCTCGACGGGAATCGAACCTGGGACCTTCAGGTTCTGCGACCAGCATGTTAACATTGACCCACTGGGTCACAATCTTATGATCCATATTTCCTACTTCACGAGTTAGCGTGACCTGCATTCACTGCCGTCGGTGAACAACTGTCCTCATATCCAACTTGGTCGGGCTACTGGATTCCAAACAAGTGGCGGAACCTATAGGTCCTTGGTGCGCACTGTAGAGAAGTTCCACACTGGGACGAAACGGCTGTTCAGTGCTTCTAAGGTTTCTAATATTTCTCCAATTGATGTCGGTTCATTATGAATACTAGCCTAAAACAATTTCTGTTTTAACATTTCACTACATGAATTTCCCGTCATCTGATTACAACTGAGGCAAGGGGAGATGAATAAATAGCCAGAGTGACACAAAAATGAGAGTTAATAGTTTAGATCCTATAACAACTGCAAAAACAGTTGTACTTTGTTTTGTAAATTTAAATAATTTACCTCTCAATAGTCTTACATCTAACACCTAACTGATTCGTTTAAATGCTGTTCTAAGTTCTATATACTTACCTGCATGTTTTATTTTCGCCATGGCTTATCTAGGTAAACCGTTGACTGATTGTACCAGAAAATATGGGAAGGATCTCATCCCAATACAAAAAAAGTAGAAGTCAATTTTTTTTGATCGTGATTTAGCGGACGACAATCACTTTGCGTTCTGTAGTGAGGACTTCCCTTAAATTAACTTTCTGGTTACCTAAACTAAACTTTCTCTTCAATTATCTCATTTTTTTGTATTAAGTATTACAGTTTATTGAACAATTTCGTTTTTGGTAACCTTTTTGAATCCACTCTGTTTTCACCGCCTAATCAAATTTTCTGGTTTATTTTCATTTGCTCCACTGCAATTTGTATACAGGACATTCTATCATGGTCATTGTCCGTAATAAGTTTATTGTGATCCCAAGCTGCCCGGGACAAATTTGAATAAGCCGAATTCAGGTTTGCCAGTTTTTATCTTCAGATATAGAGCCCTAAATTTTCTGAAAGAAAGATAACTTTGAGAGGAACAATTAACTAATTCACTTAAAGCACACTACAGGAACCTATTAGAATACGGCGGAAGAGTAACATGCACAATAATTTTTCACCCTTATGTCAAGAACTCAGTGTTAGGCTGTAAAAGCAAGACATGAAATGAATAGCTACAACAGAGGCCAAGAGGATACAACTTGTGGTTAAGGATATAGTATACAATCTAGGAAATTCAGTACACTTAAAATCATCCAACAATTCGAAGAAAAAATTGCAAAAGATTCTGAAAATGAAACACGGAAGTGGATGAAACGAATATTGCATCTGCTACTATGAAGAAAACCTTGTACAAAGATCTCCACAGCCACAAACACAACATTTGCATAGACCAGCCTCTAACATAAAAGGCTGCAGAAAGATGCCTGAAAAAGGAAGATAAGTTCTTGGTTAGTGAATTGTATCCTACTGAACTAGTAAAATTTTAGTTCTTTCATTGATGAAGAAAGGTTTTGTCAGGAATAGCTACTCAATGCCCATAAAAACTAGACATTTTGTATGTAGTTGAATGAAGGATATCGGAGGTAGAAAGAGTTTCTCTGTCACATCACCATATCTTTGGGGTATAGTCAGTGAGAGCGATGTAAAGTCACATCATATAATTATATGAGGTTTCAAGCTCAATAAAAATTCGAATGTGGAGATTCTAAAGAACATAATATGGCTTTGATTGAATAAAGTGATATCTGGAAGGATGCATAAGTGAAAGTAGGATTCAATACTCAGAAGATACTTTTCACAATTTCAAAAACTCCTACATCTGACCTCTTAATCGTTCTTCTGATCGTGATAATGTGTACTACGACATTATGAGTATGAATGATAAAATACCGACGAAACTGCATGTAATGTGAAAGCCTAGATGATCATTAGGATTAATAAGGTACTTTAGACTCTCTTGAGGGATGCTGAAAAGGTCTAACTTGTCGAATTCTAGGACCTGACTGTGGATGCTAAGAACAGCCTTTTTGAGGGCTAGCAAGTAGGAAAACTAGATCCACAGTTTTTCATTGACCAAGTTCATTCAATTAACATCTATCACAGTGCTTCATGATGATGAGTTTCCTGGTGGCAATATTGCAAAACGATCGATAGAATTTGGTCAGCGCTTAGAACTAGACGACATGAATTTTGGTTACAGTTCGCATATGTTTGTTAAATTTCGAGCCATTTTATCAATTCAGTGTTAGAAACATGGTTGACAGATGAGACAATAAGTTTGTAACAAAATACTAATCAAACTATTCAATTTAAAAAAAACTGTGAAGTTTCAACAAAGATATAAAGTTTACCTTCCCAACCAACTAATTAAATACCTACATTTCCAGCATACTGCAAGTGTTCAACAAGAGAAAATAAATGTTCTTCGGTACATAACGGATTAATATCCTCATGAACGCGTTCTGCAAACTGATCCAAATCATAGACTGGGAATAGATCATTCACTGTCCATTCTGGTAGTTTGTTCGATAAATCCAACATTAAAGAATTAGTTCTTGGTAGTGTCTGTATTTAAAGATAAAGAATGAAACATATATACTCAGTGAAATCCAAAATGGAATTTTGTATGTCGATTCAATCAAGCTATAAGCAGTTTTAAACATGTTTAGTTACTTACACAATTAGAACTCTTGTATTTGAGTCACAGAAATACTTAGATAAAACCTGCCATTGTAAACTAGGATTTTCAGAACACATTGTGTGACGTTAAAAAGTCTTTTAGGTTAATCACGAATCGCCATGTTTTATATTCAAACCATCAACAGTAGCTGAAGGTCATATTTTAGAGTTTGTTTGCAATAATTAACTGGATCGAGTTTATATGAATATAGGAGTGAGTAGAGGGATGGAATACTCAGCTTCCTATGTACTGAATTTCTCAGTCATATAACTAATACCTTTTACTGACCTAATTCTTTAGCTGTTAAACTTTTACCCAGTGGTTGAATCATGGTAAATTACATACATATGAGATCACAGATGTGCATTGCTGAAGAGTGTAAAACTAGCAAGAAATAATTTGATAATACTTTTTCATTTTGAAAGGTTCATCATTGAAGATTTTCTTCATAATCCGGGATCGCTTTTAAATTAAGTTAAAACATACTAATCAAACTTCTGTTTGCTGTGAAACATGTTGAACTACTAACGATAGTATCATCATAAACTACATTATTCAGTTAGTCACTGTTGTGCAGAAAATGTTGTAGGTATTTCTCACGAGTTACATAAGTAGAAGTTTATTTCTTCATCAGTCACCTCAAAGGTAATGTTACGAATTGGACTCCAGATAACCCAGGTTCGATATCATTCCTTATACGTTCACCTCTTATAACTTCGGTCTACTCTAGAGATGGCGAGCTTGTTGAAATGATGGAAAAGATTTGTAATACAGAATCAGGATGATGATGGCATGGTGTACGAAAACTCAAAGAATACCAAGCCATTGTCATCAAAGTCATATGTTCCTTTCATAGAGTTCACCTAACATGGATTAGCTTGAGTTAAAAGCGTAGTAACTAGAGTAATAATAAAGAAGGTACCCCAAGTAGTTTTATATGAGAAATCTGACTGATTGCGATTTGAAACAATTAAAGGAGTTATGTACACGAAAATCCTTTTTTCTATATTGTTGAATCTCACAGGGTATTAAATTCATTGTCCGAATGTTTCAGAGTTCATAGGTTAATCGACAGTATTTTCTGAAAGACAAACTACTGCATAGGTAATTTAATGAGGGTGGGGACAACTCACGGTTTGTATTTCACCACTCTTACCATATATTAAACGATTAAGTAATAGAATAGTCAGTGACTCAGTGTTTATTTACACTTAACTCCTGAAACTAGCTAACTAGTTAACTGGGGTAAGTGGGAAGTTGTTTGGTTATTTATAACAGAATCTCTGACATACATCAGGCTGTTTAAGGATTTAATACCCATGTAGACGATTCAGTGGCTTTTGACTTATGGTTATTATGCCTCAAGTGTAATGTTATTGGTGGCATCCAGTATTTCGTCAAAGAAATTCATCATTTTTGCGCAACAGTGAATGAACTGAAATTTTCTACCGATATGAGAAATATTCCTGTTATGCGTAAAACTTTTGTTACAGCGATAAAGACAGTGCCTATAAATAGACGAAACAGTAGACATTTCACTTCAGAACTCGACCAAATTAGTCTAGTAATTAGAACAAACCGACAACCATTTACAAACAGTATTTATGGGATGAAATACAATAAAACCACCAGCGATTATTTTTGGTAATATACCTGCTGAAGAAGATACTGACAAAAACTGCAATGTACTCTTTTTAAGTTCACAATATCAGGGTGCTGTCGTCAGGAAGTCTGTAATATAGGTTTTTCTTAATAGCAGAATGAATGCTTCCTCAGAGACATGTTAAACAGCGTGAACTTCAGTACTTTTCAGCTGAATAGTTTAATCAGTCACCCTATAACTGTGAAGGTATGATGTTACGGAAGACTCCCTTAGAAAAATTTCACATGTGCCTTTAAATGAAGAGCAATTAAGCGCATCTCAGTCTAACATAAATTTCATTTCTGTGCAACTAAACCATCCGGCCGAGAGGATGCCAAGACATCAAGGTTAACATCCTAAGTTACAAAGCATAACCTAGTGCAAAACAGAACAAAAAGTGGATAGAGAGACACCGTGAGTGATAGTTTATGAATTAAATTATTGATAGAGAAAGCGTTTTTTGACAGACCGAAACAATCTACAGACATATACGAAAGTTATAAATAATGTTCAAAGCTAGATCTTTGTTTTGTACAAAAACTGAAACTTAAACATATACTCTGTAGACTGAATAAATAGGACGTGCATAATTTCATTTCAAATTATTTACTTACTTGTCAAATTTATTTCACTTTTTATGTTGAAATTTTTAAAAATGGATATTCTGACAGACAATTATAGGCAGTATTGATTAAGCATCATATGTTTTTCGCGTTATTCATAGTGCCACACGTAAACATGGCAACTGATGAGAATTTATTACAACAATAATGAGGAGTGAATCTTTTTAGAAATATTCATTAACAAGGAATGGGTTAAGTCTGTGAGTTCACTTGTTTGTATGAATGTAACTGTTTTTATCTTGTTTCCCTAACAAATCTCATCCTTCTCTTTCGTTGCACGGTTAAATTAGTTAATAGTCTACAAGCAAGATGAGGTTTTAACAATCAATCATTAAGGCGAGTTGAAAAGACTGTATACACTTTAACTGACTGCTGATCTTCTTAAGATAATTTCGACATCTGATCATATGAAGTCAGTTGATGTGATGATAATCGGATAGTCATAAATCAGACATTCACATGACAGCTGGAAAAATCCATCAATATGTGAATAGGAATTAAGTCCCAGTCAGCTCACAGCAACACAGCTTGGTAGGATACCTAGTCCATACATTGGAAGTTGCTGGTTTGAATGGTCCCACTATCCAGATTCTTATTTCCCTTTGAATTATTTGTCTCCTCGCATTATAAATCTAAGTGTGGTAAACCGTGAATATCTCAGATAGGCTGACGAAAAAGAAATCTGTTTGCATAATGTAATGATTTATTTGTTCAACCGTATCTTGGTGCTGACAATATTTATTGTAAACTTTGTATCATTTTTTCCTAAATAAGGTTGCTTTCAGCTTCATTAACATTCACATTAACAGCACGTTAACCATGCAAAGTAAGACATATTACACACTGCTTAGAGTTTTTACATGTGAGGTTGTTTATTTACAAAAGTAACTAAACTCTAAAGTATACGTTTTTTCTTCCTCACTGTCTACCAATACAGACTTCTCCAATGTACAGCCATTTACCTAAACAGTACTTCTCTTAAATGAGCCAAGTGAATGATTACTATTTTCGGTGAACAATGTATACCTGCATTGGTGTACGCATGACAACTGAAATGCGAAAAATTGTTATGGAATCGAATACTGCAACTAAGATTCTACAATCACATATCTATCAGTTACATCATATTTTTTAGAATCATATCAATTAACAATACTAATAACTACTGGGCAGAAAATTGCACCTCGTAAAAAATGCTTAACTAGCTAAAATATGAGACACTATAATTACTTCTCACCAAGGTACCAGCAGTAAATACGGCGTCAGTAGCAAGTCACCATTTCACTCTCTTCTCAACAGTCATTTCAGTCTGGCTCCATCACTGATCACAAGCCTCCATTTCTTCATCACACCATCTCCTCAATGTCACCCTCAGCTCAGATACCCAACTCGTCGTTTCCCATTCGGGTTCCACTCGACAACCTGGCCTCACCTAGTCTCGCCTGGTCAGGCGCATGATGTCAACAAAACGTCTTCCTTCTCAGTGCATCCCCAGTCTAATCCATCTCCACTCTCCTCTGCACACTCAAAGGGAAATGCACTCTCGATTGGTTCGTCACCAGCCAGCCAGCCAGAGTTCCTTGTTGCTTATTCTTCCTTTCTGGACATCTCATCTGATCTTCAGTATCGAGAGAGTGAGTGAGTGAGTGAGTGAGCGAGCGAGCGAGCGCGCCAGCATAGGCGGCATCTGTTGATGTGATGTATGTCTGTAGTTTGTTGGAAATGCTTTTTGTGACGCGCCACCAACACTCTCAGCCATCACATGGAAGCACTGACACACCTGACTAATATGAGTGTTGAAAATGCAAATCCTGTTCACGCTTTCTGCTGAGTGCAGTGCAGTGCAGCAGATCTCCACACTGATTTCAGGTTAATGAAGGCCTGTCTTGCTGTCTTTCCAATCCTGGCTGCTTTGAAGTCCAGTCGACCACAATCAGCAAGATGATCAGTGATTGTAGGCAATCTTGTCTTACTCCTGCCTGTCTTCACTTCAAAGGCATCACTGAACGCTACATTGTGAATCACTCGGCATGTAGCATCATATAGCATGGCATATAGTTGTTGAATGAGGTTGATGGGAGTTTGTTGCACTAAACATGTAGTGTTGAAACAGCTGTCTGCCAAATTAGTGGTCGGTCGACGCTGTCGAAGGCCTTTTCAAAGTCAATGAAGTTTAGGTACAGGTACAGGTACAGGTACAGATGCAGTTGACTGGCATCCTGCACTCTGTTCTGTGATGACGCGTAGCGTAGCGATGCGATGCGTTGCAATTTGATCCGCACATGATTTGTTCATCCTGAAACCCACCAGCCAGCCAGCCAGCCAGCCAGCCAGCCAGCCAGCCAGCCAGCCTGCCAGCCACTCAGCCTATTCCGGTAGTGATTTTCAATGGCGAGCATCCTATAGTCTCTCTCTCTCTCTCGCTCTAGGATGATGCGCCTTAATAATTCGCTTGCTCCCGGTGGACAGAAACAGAACCATGAATCCTCACCAGCTCTCGTTCTTGCAAGCACTTAGGTCTCCGTTGTTTTACAAGGGAGTTTTACTAGGTAGCAATTCTTCCACTCTACAGGTACCTTACATTCCCTCATTCCTCACCTTCTAATCCTTCCGCAGTAGCGGTGTGGTGTCAGCATGTCCACCGTTGTCTCTGCATTTGTTTTCAGTGCTTGAGGAGGAATCCCATGTGGTCCTGCTGCCTTCTCAGATTTCAGCAAATTTATGGCTTTCTTGACTTCACTTCTGCTTTTGTTGGAGGGTTTGTGTTCACTGATAGTTGTGTGGCTGGGCTGCTGGTGGTATTTGTGGACGAGTTGCAGGGTGTGTTGTTGTTGTTGTTGGTGGTGGTGGTGGTCGAATCAAGAGATTTTTGAAGTGGTTTGTCCATTGTCTCCTTTGTTTCTTCACCTTGACGGTAACTAAGTTTACTTCACTATCATCTTTCATCGGTTTCAAATGCGTTGGTCTCTTCCCTCTCAGATTGTAACCTGGTTATTTGACACAGTGTTGTCAGGTCTCTCCCTCTCTCCTACCTTCAGTCTGTTCTGCTTCACCTGCCAATGTATCGTAGAGGTGCCTTTTGTCTTTCCGTGCACGCTTCTTCACTTCTTTGTCCAGTGTAGTGTTTTATAGGTTGTGTTCAGTTCCTCTTTTCGTTGTTCATTCATGCACTGCACTTCACTTCACTTCACTGAACTGGTTCATCTTCTGCTTCACCATCACCATCTTCCTCTCCCTCCTCTGCCAGCTTCCATGTATACGTGCAGGTATATCCCATTCCTCGTCTTCCCCCTTCTTCCACCTTGACACGATTGTGCAGATTTCCTTCCACATAGCTTTCAAACAGTTCCAGTGTTCCTCCACGCGGGTTTCTTCGGCGATGTTGCTCAATGTCTCCCATTTCTTTCTACTGACTGACTGACTGACTGACTGACTGACTGACATGAAGATGTCCTTCGTAGTTTCGTCCTTCAGTCCAGTTTCTGTTCTGGGTGTCCAACTTGGACTTGAACTGTGGTCTATCATAACCAGCTTCTTTCAACGCTTTCAACTTGATTTTGAATGTAGGTTCCTTGCACTAGATGATGGTGTGGGTGGTGCGATAGCCTAAATGAATCATACTGAATGGATCAATTTACACTGAATTTAACGACTGATGTGTCATTGAATGCTTTGCCACTAACAGTCTTTTCCGTTGTAAAACTTTCATCAAAACAAAAAGACACTGTTCGTTATTCTGACTAATGGACAGTGAAAGAAAACTGATGACATTTCCTACCTGTACTATAATATTTCGAACATCGGTTAAGTATGTCTTCAGTTGTTTCAATTCTAGCGACGTAGCATCTCTTGCATCGAGTAGGTAGATAAATTCATGGATATCTAATTTATCTCTAAATAGTAGAAGAAGAAAAATAAAGAAGGATGTTGACAATAATATTAAGTGTTCAACATTTTCTTTTGAAATATGAAGTCTAAAACCAATAGCTTACACGTTTTATGAATGAAATTAAAATTTTCTGAAAATTTAGTGGGATTTTTAAAGAGGGATTTTCGCCTTCTTTTGAATAAATTTAAAAAATTTCTCAGAAACATCTTTTATTGTCAGTAGAATCATCCCATGTAGTCTGTAACAACATTCTAAGCTTTATCTTTTACTGGATTTCCGAAAAATATCCTTTTTAAATCAAAAAGGATGTTTTTCGTTTCTAGAAGACATTTTCATCAGGATTCACGTTGAAGCAGCAAGTTTACGGATGAATGAAATTTGTATTTTGCACGAAATATATTCATTTTATCATACATGAGAATATAATTTTTTCAGCGAAGAAATTTTGTATCGAATTTAATTACAGAGCAGCACGATTATACTGGCATTTTGTAAAACTTATATTAGTTATAGTAAAAAGTACGCGGTTGAATAGGAAAAGGAAAAAGTGGGTGGATATTGTTCAGGTCTCTTCAAAAAATCATAACTGCAACTGTTAATAATAATGAAATCACGAAATGGATTAGAACAAAAATGACTGAAGAGAGAGAGTGAGAGGGGTAGAAAGAGATGAACAAAACACAACACCATTAACCTTTGAATATCTATCTTATTAGGTCGAGTCATGCATCTCCCAGGAGTACACCTTTCACATTACTTAGCATAATAAAGTTAACGCATACTGAAAGCCTTCATTTAAAACACTTATGAATGCCTGAAAATCTAGCCATGTATGGTCAAAAATTTAAACTCAATGCTTAGGGAAGTTTTACAAAACTTCTTACTTTATCCTGATTCTAATACCACTCTTCAGTCAGTTTAACGTCACTTCACTAATAATCAGTTTTGAAAAAAGCCTTTTTATAAACAAATGGCAAAAAAAATACAAGTAATGACGGTTGGGTACCTCTACATTTATGTAAACATGTAAAGCTACAGAAGTGTTAAAAAGCTGTGTTATATGGAAGTTTCTATGTTTACACGTTTATGAAACTCTGTGCAGTGGTTGCAAGTGTTTCTACCCTCTTATAGTTTCAAACATTTTATGCACCAAACTGTAACCAGTCAAATATATCCAAAAAGTATATCGAAGTAGTCATAAAGTAATCACGAACGCATAAAATCAGGGATATCAGTAAAATTATCATTTTGACTATCTGACATAGCGTTGGTTCGGCAGACTAGTATTGGTGCTGACCTCGTAGCTCAGTTGGTAGAGTATCGGATAAAAAATTCTCTGGTCACTGGTTCGAATCCTGCCGCTGTCCACATTTTCATTTCATCTTCAATCCTTACTCAGTATCAATATCATTCAAGTTAGTCTCATTCAAAATTACACCAAGCATAAACTTATTTACTGTCTGAAAAAAGGGACTGTGTTAGTTTTAATATATAAAAGGCGATAGCTTTGAACGCTAACTTTGTACAACTAACACCAGGCGATAAATACGTTTGTATACAATCAATACTGACAGGTTTTCATTAAATATGAAGAGCCAAACAGTCTACGTCTGTTAAAACTTTATTTCCTGCTGGATGACGACAAGAAATGGAGACACAACTTTACTTATATGTAATATTGATGAAACGTCATTCGCCAGAATGATTTAGGTGGTATTTTTAAGCTAAGGGAACTTCGTAAATCCAGATGAAAACTGAAACCAACAGGAAACTGAGGTATTCAGCTTCTACTTAGGTTTCGCTTATCTCTCTTTGATCAGCCGTTTCTTTAGCACTAAACAAAACAAATAAAACTGCTCACATAAGAGATCTAACTAACAGTTATAAGCCTTTTGCTTGCAGAAATTTGCTACTGAAACCTCGCCTAGTTTACTAGTTCACTAGTTGCTAGCCAGTCCTAACCCCGGATAAAGAGAAAAAGGTTAGGAATATGACTAACAACGCTACCCCGCAAAACCAATCCAATAGCTTAACAAACTTCTATACATAAAGAAAATATAAAGATTACAAAATACTTATTCCTAGTTGGGATTGGGGAAAGCAAATGACGCCAGTTGGTGAAACCCTTCGGGAAACCAATCGGCCGATATGTCTTCTCTCCACTCGATAAAAGCAAAAGCAAACGTTGGGACACGGAATATCCAAACAATATTTGAAGCTGGTTGACAAGGCTGCCCAGAATGCAAAAGAGATGAGAATGTATAGCATAGAAGTGCTAGGATAGGAATCTGTAAGCAGTCTGCAGATGAAATAGAAGAGGACTCCCTCAACTGTCAACTGGAGAGGAGTCAATAATCTAATCTAATCCGAGATTGTCACACAGACGACAACCATGAGCACAGCACACTGAGTCTTCCAGTGGCCATCATGATATCCCCAACAGCATCGATGACTCTCTCTCCAATGCAGTGGGAAGCAATCTCCTCCTCCTCCTCCTCCTGCAGGACCAAGACCATGACAGCAAGATTCAACTCAATTGGAAGGGAAGTCACAATCCTACATTGCTGGGCTTTGCTATGCTCTTCACCTACACATGAAGTGGATGAAGAGAAGAAGGAGGAATTCTACAGAAAACTGCAATCAGTAATGGACAATACCCCACTCCAGTTGACGACATCAAAATCCAGTCTGATAGGTGAAATGGAGTGACATGAATGCCAGACCGGGAGCCGACAACACAGGAGGAGAACTGATCATGTGTCGAGAAGCACTCGATGAAATGAGGAATGAGAATGGAGAGCTGTTTGCAGACTTCTGCACATTCAACGACTCGGTGATTGGAGACAGTGTGTACAAATACATACATACATACATACATACATACACACACACACACACACACACACAAGGATATTCACAAGGCAGCGACATGGATTTGACACGGATTTCATGAGACACCAGGAGACACTACACGAAAAATCAAATCGACTTTGTCTGAATGTGAGGAGAGTGGAGACGGAGACACAGCCTACTGGACACAAGATTAGATCAAGAAGAGGAGCAGATGTAGGTTCAAACCACACACCATTGTCTCGTGCAAGGAACCTACATTCAAAATCAAGTTGAAAGCGTTGAAAGAAGCTGGTTATGATAGACCACAGTTCAAGTCCAAGTTGGACACCCAGAACAGAAACTGGACTGAAGGACGAAACTACGAAGGACATCTTCATGTCAGTCAGTCAGTCAGTCAGTCAGTCAGTCAGTAGAAAGAAATGGGAGACATTGAGCAACATCGCCGAAGAAACCCGCGTGGAGGAACACTGGAACTGTTTGAAAGCTATGTGGAAGGAAATCTGCACAATCGTGTCAAGGTGGAAGAAGGGGGAAGACGAGGAATGGGATATACCTGCACGTATACATGGAAGCTGGCAGAGGAGGGAGAGGAAGATGGTGATGGTGAAGCAGAAGATGAACCAGTTCAGTGAAGTGAAGTGAAGTGCAGTGCATGAATGAACAACGAAAAGAGGAACTGAACACAACCTATAAAACACTACACTGGACAAAGAAGTGAAGAAGCGTGCACGGAAAGACAAAAGGCACCTCTACGATACATTGGCAGGTGAAGCAGAACAGACTGAAGGTAGGAGAGAGGGAGAGACCTGACAACACTGTGTCAAATAACCAGGTTACAATCTGAGAGGGAAGAGACCAACGCATTTGAAACCGATGAAAGATGATAGTGAAGTAAACTTAGTTACCGTCAAGGTGAAGAAACAAAGGAGACAATGGACAAACCACTTCAAAAATCTCTTGATTCGACCACCACCACCAACAACAACAACAACAACACACCCTGCAACTCGTCCACAAATACCACCAGCAGCCCAGCCACACAACTATCAGTGAACACAAACCCTCCAACAAAAGCAGAAGTGAAGTCAAGAAAGCCATAAATTTGCTGAAATCTGAGAAGGCAGCAGGACCACATGGGATTCCTCCTCAAGCACTGAAAACAAATGCAGAGACAACGGTGGACATGCTGACACCACACCGCTACTGCGGAAGGATTAGAAGGTGAGGAATGAGGGAATGTAAGGTACCTGTAGAGTGGAAGAATTGCTACCTAGTAAAACTCCCTTGTAAAACAACGGAGACCTAAGTGCTTGCAAGAACGAGAGCTGGTGAGGATTCATGGTTCTGTTTCTGTCCACCGGGAGCAAGCGAATTATTAAGGCGCATCATCCTAGAGCGAGAGAGAGAGAGAGACTATAGGATGCTCGCCATTGAAAATCACTACCGGAATAGGCTGAGTGGCTGGCAGGCTGGCTGGCTGGCTGGCTGGCTGGCTGGTGGGTTTCAGGATGAACAAATCATGTGCGGATCAAATTGCAACGCATCGCATCGCTACGCTACGCGTCATCACAGAACAGAGTGCAGGATGCCAGTCAACTGCATCTGTACCTGTACCTGTACCTGTACCTAAACTTCATTGACTTTGAAAAGGCCTTCGACAGCGTCGACCGACCACTAATTTGGCAGACAGCTGTTTCAACACTACATGTTTAGTGCAACAAACTCCCATCAACCTCATTCAACAACTATATGCCATGCTATATGATGCTACATGCCGAGTGATTCACAATGTAGCGTTCAGTGATGCCTTTGAAGTGAAGACAGGCAGGAGTAAGACAAGATTGCCTACAATCACTGATCATCTTGCTGATTGTGGTCGACTGGACTTCAAAGCAGCCAGGATTGGAAAGACAGCAAGACAGGCCTTCATTAACCTGAAATCAGTGTGGAGATCTGCTGCACTGCACTGCACTCAGCAGAAAGCGTGAACAGGATTTGCATTTTCAACACTCATATTAGTCAGGTGTGTCAGTGCTTCCATGTGATGGCTGAGAGTGTTGGTGGCGCGTCACAAAAAGCATTTCCAACAAACTACAGACATACATCACATCAACAGATGCCGCCTATGCTGGCGCGCTCGCTCGCTCACTC